GGACATTCCACGGCCGGAGGGGAATAGAGGTGAGCACTGAACGATCAGGTGAGTAATACAGCTTTATTTGAGCCCCCTTGACAAAACGAACACTTAACCCTTGCAGGGCTGGGGGTAGACCCTCTGCAAGGGTAAGTTTTTTTTTTTTAATTTTTTTTATTCCAACAGTCCTTTTTTAAGACATTGCTGCTTGTACTTTATTAACTCTTTATAAGATGCCATACAATGCTTAAAGTGTGTTTACCACCATTGCTGAAAGGAATGGTTTCTTAAAAATAAAAAAGTAATAAAATGTTAGATGTAGGCTATTTGAGCTCCATCAGTATCTGCGTCAAAGCTAATAGAGCAGTTTGCTATAAACACAATGAGGGGGATTTTTCAAAACTGGAGCAGCTGTGCATGGCAACCAATCAGCTTCTCTCTTTCATTTTCAAATCTTAACTGAACAAACTGAAGAGAGAGGCTGATTGGTTGCCATGCACAGCTTCTCCAGATTGTGTCTGCTCCAGTTATGATAAATTCCCCTCAATGAATTCAGAGGTCTTCAAACGCACATAGCCGTATGTTTGTTCCATTGTTCATTGGATATATTTTGTTATTTATTTACTGGGTCACTAGTGAATACGGTGACAAAACAGTTGAGCATTTGATTTATTGTATTGTATTCTGACGCTCAGAAGAATAAATATTTAAGGCAAATATGGATAAGTGTATATTAGACTTGTGTGATGGATTATTTTTCCACCTTGTTGTTCCATGGCCTAGAAACTTTGTAACACCTAGCAGTGAGAATTTGCACTTCCCTGTTAACTTTAAAGTGCTAGGACTGAAAAGCATTCTTGGGGATGTTTCAGCTGCCAGCACTGTCAATAGGAGCTTGATTGTCACCAGATGTTTTCAGAGAAATGTGAAGTGCAAACTAGACAACTTGGAAAATAAATTACGAAAAGGTCTTTAGTTCAATTCTGACAGACCAAATATTTGCCTGTTATCTTGGTGACGTCAAAGCCTTCACTCTTACCTCATATCACCTTTTATTTTCAGCAGTCCTTTTTGACTGACACATTATACACCAGAGATCCTTTATCTCTCAAAAGTAAGACTAAGCACTCATGGACATTTACGCCTGGGACTTACTGCACACATCAGCGGTCTGACAGACCTCATGTTACATTTTATAGTATGCATAACATGTATACCCAGACAATTTGTTTTTTTGGATTAGAGCTGGCAAGGATCTGAACTATTTAACAGGGTTTTACTGCTATCTAGGTCTCTGTTAGAGAGATTTCCCCTCACTTCCTGTCGCAGAGACAACGGTTTCACCAGAAAACAACTGAGAGAGAATTTGCAACAGGGGTACAGACAGAAATATTTTGATAGAACTTGAATGTCTGTAATTACCCATCCTTAAATGGTTTACCCCCGGACTGCAAGGGTTAAAGTGGACCTTTACCCTCTTTCACTAAAAATCACATCAGCATGCAGCTCTGCTATCTGACATAAAATCATCTTACATTCATTAGTTAAACATATTTTTAATTTACTTACAAATGCTTTACCTACTTCCTGGTCCCCTTGGGCACGATGTAATTGTGTTACATCGTTTGTGCCCAAGCGTTGCATCCTGGGAAGGTTACATCAGCAGAGAATTGCTGGGAAATATCACCTGTAATCGCAAAAGATCTCAGGGAAAGGCATTTTCCTCGCCCTGAGATGATGTATGTGTATGGTCACATGTCCTAGTCACATGTGCCAGTGTTCCAGGAAGTAAAGAAAATCTAGTAATCTGCCCTCAGTAAAAAATGGCCACTCTGAGAAGACTGGGGAAGAAAAGAAAAATAAGATATATAAAGAATAAAAAGCTGGCAATTATCAAGAACTATCTATTTGCAGATTGTCATTTCTAAAGGTGCCTTTGTTATTTTAAAGATATGGGTAAAGCTATTCTTTAAGTGCTTGTTTTGTCTAGGGGTGATCAATCCTTGGTCTTGCCTGACTGTTAGACCAGTCCCCTCAGCCTTTTCGCCCCTGGGCTCCGTCAATCTAAGGAGCCGTGATTTATCACATCTATTGCAGTCCATTAGATGTGAGGATGCCGAGGGACATACCATAGCCTGTGCGGAGTTGGAGAGAGTGGAGTGGTCACTGCCGTTGGACAGAGGATCCGGTGATTATTTCTTTATTTTTGCCCCAGACCAAAATGAGTACTTAACCCTTGCAGTGCAGGGGTATCTCCACTGCAAGGGTTAGTTTTTTGAAATCCCGGAGTTCTTCTTTAAGAACAAAGGTGCTTTGTATAATTCTTCAAATAATTGAGTTTTCTGGAGAGATCAGAGTAGAGCTGCAGCTAATGATTATTTTCAAAATCGATTAGTTAGCTGATTATTAAGTTCGATTTAATCTGGATTTTAAAAAATGGCTCCAGTGATGGGAGTACTAGTTTGTATTGAGATTGTAGTCCATCACAGGAGCAAACTTGGAGCGGTGGAAGTAAAAAAAAAAAGTGTGGTGTGCAATATAGTGAAATGGAAAGTGTAAAATTATACAGCAATCAATGCAGAATGGCACCGGCTATAGAGGACTACACATCCAAGCAATAGTACATTATAGCTGGCAGTATTCTGCATTGTGCTGTATAATGTACTATTGCTGGGTTTTGTAGTCCTCTATAGCTGGTGGTATTCTGCATTGCACCACTGTATAATGTATTATTGCTGGGATTTGTTGTACTCCTCTATAGCTGGTGAAATTCCACATTGCACTGTATAATGTATTATTGCTGGGATTTGTAGTCCTCTATACAGCACAATGCAGAATACCACCAGCTATAGAGGAGTACAACAAATCTCAGCAATAATATATTACACACCGCAATGCAGAATACCACCAGCTATATAGGAATATAACAAATCCCAGTAATAGTACAATATACATACAGTGTATAATGTATTGCTGGGATTTGTATTCCTCTATAGCTGATGGTACAGTGCTCTGTATAATATACAGCACAATGTACCATCAGTTATTGAGGAATACAAATCCCACCATCCCAGCAATACATTATAGAGCACCATGTGGGGGGGAGGGAAGTGCAGGCTTACCTGAGCAGTCTTCCAGCAACTTGCTTCTGAGATCGGGCCTGTCTGTCAGTGGCTGTCATCCCCCCCACGCCTGCTCCTCCTTACTTCTTCTCCCGGCGTCTGTGCCGGTCATGGATGTGGGCGGGCGGTGAGCGTGAGGCGGGGAGGAGGTGCGGCGTGTAGAGCGTAGATGCAGGCGGGTCTGGCTGCGGCGAGCGTGAGGCGGGGAGGAGGTGCGGCGCGTGTGGAGCCGTGAAAGGGCCAACTAATTGAAAGCCGATTAATCGATGATTGAAAACGTTGACAACTAATTCAATCATCGATTATAATCGACTTAGTCGATTAGTTGTTGCAGCCCTACATCAGAGCCATTTCTAAATGTATTAGTTTCTCAAAGAATTGGAATCCAAACACTAGACTACCTACCATTGAGCCTGGTCAATAGCTCTGAGAGTCTTTACAGTGCCAATCAAAAACCTCTGAGCAGGGGAAAGTTACAGGGTTTTGGTGCAAAATCTGAAACTGCCTCCTTGTGTCTCTGATCATGTTTAGTACTTGGGCTTCTAATTACATTGATAAGATAGGGTGTAGATTCTTCTTTTTCTGTAAGCCTACTAAAAGCTCTTCCCACCTCAGATGACCTGAAAGGGAGGCAGAGGAAAGAGCAAAGCTCTTCTGCTCTATAAAAACTTGAGCCCATAGCTGGTAAATGAAGGTGAACAGCAGATGTACATGGCCACCTTGGACACTTTGGCCCAGGAGAAGTTGTACCTACCCTCTGCAGCCCAGCTAATTGAGCCCTAGCTTGTGATTTCTACTAGGCTGGACTGTAATGAGTATATATGGCATACAAACATCTGCAACAAGTAGCTTTGGAAAAACTCAACTGTTTGCTTAGGAACCTTTCAGCACGTAAAGCAAAGAGCCATTTTATACTGAAGCACCTGTATTTTCCTAGGAAAAGCGTCACATTGAGATCTTATTTGTGGAATTGTTGGTTGATAACATCTTTGAAACATAAAGTGATTCAGGATGAAAACAACTGCTTTTTACTATGTGGGTTTCAGTATGTCAAGTATAAGCAAAACAGGCGTTTTTCTAGGGGCTGCGTGAGATGGGTACTTCTCCATATAACAGTGCAAAATGACCCCAATCATTTTTTTTTTTTTTAATAAGTGTACATTTACTGTGTGCTTTCAGCATAAATAGGATATGAAACGTTGGGAGCCATGCACCATATTTATCTTTGTCCTGCTACTGGTGTCAGCAGAAACATTTCAAAAGTAATCTATAGATCTCTTCTGCTACAAGAGGACTGATTGTTGTCCAGAACTGTGTATGAGTACATGCAGAGATGATTTTTTACTGGGTCACAGGAGGACGCTAGTTTGTGTCCTCCCGTGACCCTTAGGAGAACTATGGGGAAAAACACTGACCCCATAGTTCTCCTTTAACTAAGAAATGGTGCCTTACTACCTTATGATATTTGCTAAATATGGAATAATGTTGAATGTATTATTCATGGTGTTTTCCGCTACTGTCAGAGTCTGATTTCTATGGAAATTGGACAGTCATCTGATATTGGGTGCAGCACTGCATAGTGTGTGGGCTGTATAGTAAACAAAAAATTATTCTAACCATTAGATTTATTATTTGTTACTTTTACACAGCCCACACACTGCGAAGCATCTAATGTATTCTGATGTGCACTGCATTATTTTTTGAGTGCTATAAAATTAACCTTCAAATGGCTCCTGAATTATTATTATCTTGCGTACTGGCTAATATGTTTGTATAATTCACAGAACAGACCTTTTGCTTTTAGCCCAGTCTGCACGTATTAATTGCCAGCAAACAACATCTGTGTTGATTTTTGTTCTGTTCCCGGAGTAACCCTTAATGTTTTAAATATTCCAGGTTGCCATAAAATCTATCCGTAAGGACAAAATAAGAGATGAGCAAGATATGGTTCACATCAGAAGAGAGATTGAAATCATGTCGTCACTCAGCCACCCGCACATCATAAGTATATATGAAGGTAAGGTGCTGGCATTTGCTGGAGTCACCTGATGGCCAGCTTTTTCCTTTCATCTTTGACTGCTTGCCAGTCTTCTTGTGTTTGTGTGGGATACAGCACTGCACATTACTCTGAACAAGTAAATGTGTTTACAGTTATACAGTTATATAATGCAATTGGGTATGATATACCAGACTTTCATATTCCTTTTATCTGAGTCTTAAAAATTAGTTTTTACTTGCTGGACTGTAAATCTGTCTAGCCGATTTAACTCATTGGACAATGAATGCAGTCTATATTGTTGTCTTTTCTAAATGCAGCTATGTCTCTATTACAAACCTTTTAAGGTTGCTTTTTTTCCCCCCCAAATTCATGTTTTTGAGATAATGCCAATAACAGAATATTTGATGTAACACTGGGACATGTAATGTCAAAACAAATTGGTCCAACTGGAATGATTCCCTCCTAGACTTTCTGATTTACATGCTTGAGAATTGGATTAAGCATTTTTTTTTAAGTTGGTCATGCTCATACTTAAAGTGTATGTATGGCTACAAATATTCTTTATAGCTTTAACCACTTGCCGTCCGCCCGTTGTAAAAAAACGGACGGACGGCACTGCAGCATTATCTTTTGGGGTCCACAGGTGACTTTAGGGGTCCTAGAGACCCCTAATGTCTCCATAAAGAGGACCTGTCAGTGTGCCTTTGCTATTATATAGGGGGATTGTTATCCCCCTATATAATAGCAAGAACAATAAGTGCAAAAAAAATATATATAAATAAAAGTCACATATAAAAAAGTAAAATAAAATAAAAGTCACATATAAAAAAAGTGAAAAAATGTTTAACTCCCCCACCCCCGCGTTTACGCACCTATAAACGTAAATACGCGCCCGGTGCCCCAGCGCACAAAAACGACAATTGCGCTACACATGTTACATATCGCCGCGAACATCGCAGTGAGAGCAATCATTTTAGGGCCATCAATCACTGATAACACTAAACTGATGAGCGGTAACAGCTTTTAAAGCGTCACCTATGGCCAATTTTGGATATTATCGTTTTTTGAGGTTTCGCAATTTTAAGGCTTGACATGTTTGGTGTCTTTTTACGCGACGTGACCCCGTCTTTTACATTTTACCAAAAAATTGGGTAATAATAAATGTTTTATCATTTAATATAGGGGAAACTGTTTTTTTTTTTTTTACATTTCGGTAATTTTTCCTTAATATAGTAAAAAATAAAACCCCCAGTGGTGATTAAATACCACCAAAAGAAAGCTCTATCTGTCCCTAAAAAAGGGTATAAAATTAATTTCAATACAGCGTTGCATGACGGAATAAATGTCAGTCAAGGTACCGCAGCGCTGAATACTGAAAAATGGCCTGGATGGGAAGGGGGTTTAACACCGCGGATGTCAACTGGTTAAATCATGAAGAGCAGGGACAAGTTAGTCTGACAGTTAATTTTTTTGCCATATTTCTCCCATTCGGTACATTTCCCTTAATTTTCTGTTCCAGAGATGCAACAGTCTCCGGCAGTAGTTGACTTGGGCAGAAGTTTATAGCCTAGACCTGTGATGGCGAACCTTTTTGAGCCTAATTTCCCAAAACTGCATCACTAAAACAACTTATGTACCTCAAAGTGCCAACCTGTGCTGTACTAGCAGACGACCCATATGGATTTTCCGGTACCAATCCCAATACCGATTATGGGCCACCTTTTAGGCCTATAATCGATATCGGGTACCAATATTCTGTTTAAGTGCTTGTTTTTGTCTAGGTGCTAAAAATAAAAAGTTATATTCACCAGACTATCCGCCGGCTCCCTGCTTCGGTGATCACTGAAGTGTCTCCTCCTCCTGTGCGCAGATAGACTGTTTCTCAGTGTCGTCACATCTATACACAGGCTATGTACAGTGTATAGAGCGTGATGACACCAGGATCCTTAGACCACTGCAGGAGAGGGGGAGAGACACGGAAGCCGTCTGATGGTCTGGTGAGTGTAACCTTTTTTTTTTTTCTAGCACCTAGATATAAACGATCACTTAACCCTTGCAGTGTGGGGTTGTTTAAGGCTACAGAATGATGATGCATGGGTCAATTCAAAGCAGAATGCTTGACAAAAAGAAGAGGACAAAAATGAATAGGTCATTAAAATATTAACAATAACAAAACCAACCTTTGCTGTAATATTTACCCCACAGTACTTTTTTTTTAATGCTGCTAAATTTTTTTCTGTCCAGGATCATTCAACCCACTTTACACCCACCTGAAGCAGCACAGTGTTGACCTCATCTCTCTGTTACTCTGCTTTCTCCCCCTATCAGCATGCTCCTTTTGTCAGCTCATAAACTGATTAGCCCTTTGTACTTGCTCCAGCTCTTTAAAGCCTGGTTCACACCTGCATATTTGGAAATCCACGTGGTCATAGGTGCGGACAAAAACGCGCAATTTGCAATAGACATGCGTTTTTCCGTTAGTTTGCGGCTACAACCGCCCTGAGAATTTCGCATGTACCTTTTTGCTGCCTTCTGCGTTTTTGTACATTATGTATGAACACGCAGGTGTGAACGAACCCCATAGGAATGTATTGGTTTTTGTGTTTTGCGCATTTATACATGCATAAAAACGCTCGGGTGTGAACCAGACCTTACTTGGACTGCAAGAGGCTGATATCGGCTCAAATTCAAGTTCTTACACTGCTTGCATTTGAAAATGTGTTTAATTAGGTAGTAATGATTACAAAGCTCCATCAATTGTCTTTTTTATATCTGCCTGGAGTTCAGCTTTAAAGACGAATGCTTTCAAGCACCACAAGCTGGCAACATTTTAGAGCTGTTATTACCTTAGAATCATTTTGGGATAGGTTGGGTTCACTCCAGGTCTGGCCACATATGGTTAATTGGAACAATGGACTGTGAGGAATATGCCTGTCTCACTTAGATCGCTGCTCCTGTTACAACTTGCACAAGGTTTCTTATTCTGAAGAAATTCAAAATAGACAGCTTACCTGAGTCATAGAATCCCATGGTGTAATGTCTGATGGGTACAGGTGTACAGCTGGCGCTACTTTCTTGGGGCATTTTTCAATAGATCTCAGAGGAAGCCGGGTTGTTGGCTCCTGGATTCTAAATTCTATTTGTTTGTCCATCTCAACAGGCGCTTTGCAGTGGTATTGGTTGCTAAATCCATACCGAAATTATCAGAAGCAGGACTAAAACTTGCTCTTTTCGAAAAATGTGATGCGTTAGCACACTTCCCTATTTTAGTTCTAATACACTATTTGAATTGAAAAAATGTCAAACATTTGTACAGTGCTTTTCAGAACAATAAATCATAACATGACATGAAGAAAAAAAAAAGCTGATAGAAGTGTTATGTGAATCATTTACTGACCATTGTAATAACCGAAGTTTGTGCTCCAGAAAACAGATCTGACTGTCCCAAAGTAACCTAAAGTTTTCCTGCCAAGAAATGTTGTTACTCCAGATGGGAAAGTGAAAGAAGTTAGACGTATCACACAAGTAATCATCCAGAGGGTTCCCTTTAGTTTACATGAGGCTACCTCCTACCCACCGAGGAAAGCATCAGCCAAGACAAGGCGACGGGCGTGATAGTATGATGGGTTGTGCATTGTGTCACGGCAAGCCAAGTTTATGTTTTAAAGAATCAGGCAAGGAGATAGTTCTGTGAGTGAAATTGCAAAAGAATGTTGTGGATTAAAACAAAAGGGAATATAGGAACAAGCCGTGCACACTGTGATCTCTTGAAAAATGATGATGGAAGTATACACCCCAGTCCAAGAGAAGTACTTGCCAAGTGCACCTTGCCAAATAGAAACACCTAATGGGGATTTCCTTTCACTCTGGAGGGAAACCAGAATCGCCTGTATATTGTGTAGAAATTCATATTGGGCAAATGCTTCATGAATTATAGAAAAACAGATCATTTTTGTGACTGACAAAATTCCTGGGAGAACTTGTGAAGCATTGCCAGACATTTATCTGCAGGCCTGAATAATAGAAACACGTGGTTTAGTCACAATCTCTTGTCATTCTATATGGTTTCTGCAGCACTTTTGTATTGGATTATACATATGATTCATTTAAAAAGTAGCACCAAGCAGTTAGTAAAATCGGTGATTGCTAATGAATGCAAATCAGATTTTGTAACCCATTTATTTTTAAGAAAACCAGCCATGAGAAAAACCTAGTTATGGGGCCCACTTACATGCTCTTCTTAACCTTTCACTGGTTGTGGGGCTCACCTGAATGCTTCTGCTTCCTTCTGCTGCCAATGGTTTTGGACACATCTGTGCGCTGCTCTCTACCTATCACTGGTTATAGGACTCATCTGCACTGTCCCCTCTGCCTCCCAGTGTTTATGGGACAGACCTGTACTTTCCCCTCTGCCTCCCACTGGGTAGGGGGCACACCTACATCCTCCTCTCTGCCTACCACTGGTTATAGGACATCTCTGCACAGTCATCTCTGTCTCCCAGTCGACAAGGCACACCTGCACACTCCCAACTGCCGACCACAGTTCCGTGCCTTAGCTATCTTTTATCTTTTGCCATACTTGAGTGGTGTTATGTGAGGCACAGGGAAAGGGGGGCAGTATAGCATTTGTACAGTTTGGCAACTACCAACTTTTAGAAAAATGTTTGGCTGTGCTTTTCCTGTTTAAAATAAGAATTGTTCTAAATTCCGTAGGTTGCCATTACTGACTCATCCAGTGCAACGGTGCCTGGCTGTCATGTTGTCACTATGGCTTCTGGGATGCTAAACAGTTCAAGTATATACGTATTCTGACATCACTAGCTGCATGCTTTTGCGGATTAAAGGTTTGTAGTCCGAGGCAGCCAGGCAACTTTTGGGATTAAATTTTTAATGGTAGCCTACTTTTTTTTTCAGTTAGTGGAGGGTATGCTGTGTTGGTGCCCAGCCACTGCATCATCATGACTAACATATGAAGTAGATGAGGAAAGATCTTCCTGGCTCATAGTGGATTTTTTTGT